GAGGAGGAGGAGGAGGGAAGGAGAAGGGGAGGGAAGGAGGAGGAGGGAAGGAGGCGCCCTCGCCTCGGACTCGGGGCCCGCCCAGGCCGCCGGGCGCAGCGGGCACGCGCCTGACGTGGCGCCCTGCGAGGCGAGCGCGCGGTAACGGCTGCTAACGGCCCGGTAACGGCTGCTAACGGCCGGTGACGGCCGAGAGAGAGGTAGGGGCCGCGGGGCGGGAGCTGTAAGGCGGGCGGGCCCCGGCCCCGGCCGCGCGGGGAGCGGGAGAGGCTGCGCCGAGCCCCGGGGTCCGGGACGCGGGAGCCCCGGCGGGACGCGGCCTGGGCTCAGGGGAGGCCAAAGCAGAAGAACTGTATTAAAGGTTTCGCAGTGCCTCTTTTGTCGTTTTCTTTTCTTTTTGTATAAGCGAGGGTTTATTTATTTATTTATTTATTTATTTATTTATTTAATCCTTCAAACAAAGAAGGCTGTTCTAGCAGTGTTGCTCACAAGCACCTCCGAGCTTCACTCCCTCGTGACAGGCCTAGATTTTAAACAGTGCCCTTTTGCCTGGCCTTGCAACTGCACAGTTCCCTTCTAGCTCAAATATTTATGTTTTTACATGTCAACTAAGCCGCAGCACAGCAAAATGAGCCCAGAAACACAATGTTTTTGTTTCCGATTGTTCTAAACCAAAACCCCACAAAGTGCTGTTTGCTGGAGCAAATTTTTAAGCATAAAAATCCACACTCTATCTCCACCTCATTTTAAATATACACTTCCATAGTCACAGAAAGGGGAGGTTCTTAGTGCCTGAACATACTGGGGCCTTACTTTTAGCAGAGGGGAATTGGTAGCTTTTCTTTAATACAGATACTTTTTTCAAAATTTTTATTATTTTTAATGACATCATTAAACAATTATTTCTTAATCTTGATTTGCAGCCCCATATTTAAGAATGATAAAATACACTTCTTTAATGTGCAGTAGGCCAAAATTTTTTAAGAATCTACAAGTAAAATGGGAAAGTGATGTTGATTATCATCGCAGTGTTAGCTGCAGCATCCACAAAAAAACCATTGCTTGCTTCCTTCAATCCTTGTGATTTTAAGTATATTTTGAGAATAGCTTATTTCATTACAGATAGCTGTTCTGGAAGGCTGAAATTAACTTCAGTGAAGAAGAGACAGTCATTCACTCTACTAAGAGAATGTGAAAGCTTTAGTCTTATAGTATAAAAACGAAAGTTTCCACAAAGAAAAAAAAGAAAAGGTGTTAGTAGAAAGTATTGTGACCCTTCAAAGAATCACGCAGTTAGAAAACATGGTAAACATCAAATGAACATTTTTGGGGTGTGTTTGTGTAACTAAAGGGGGGAAGTTTATATCCAGGAACACTTGCAATTATTAGTTGTGGAGGGTATTTTGGTTCAATGGGTTCTGTTTTGTTTGTTTTTCTAGCTCTCTCTCTTTTGCTTCCACTTCTTAAGGGCACAAAATGTCTGAGGTTAAGCAGAGGAAAAAAGGGGCTTCTTCCAAGACCAGTGAGGATTCACAAAAGGCCAAGAAGGACAATGATCATGGGAAGCTGGTAAATCCCAAGACTAGCAATAATAGGAGTTCCTCTTGGGTAGACACACGGTCAGCCTTGAGCCTAATTTCTCTTGTCATTTGCCTGGTGCTGAGCTGGTACGTAATCCTCTATAGTAGATTCTTTTGTGGTTTAGTCATGGACAATATGATTAGTAATATTTGAATATAGTATTTGGGTTTAAAGCTTTTTCTTCATGGGAACATTATAAAGCAGGAACATAAAGCTAAAAAATGTCAAGAAAAGAACAGTGCTAATCACAAGAAACCTGGAAACCCTGCCAGACAGTGAGGGGTTATAGAAGCTTGATCTGTTTTGTCCTGCTGAAGGCTTAGCAGATGCCTTGCTCACGGATTGTAGATACCTGCTTGAGTGACTGCGTGTAATTGTGAAGAGCAAATTAATCTGACAAAAAAATGCAAGGCTCAGTGAGCAGGAAACAAATCATCAGTACAATTGCACGTAATTAGTTTGCTCAGCAATGTGGCAGATTGTTCATCAAGTAGAGTCTTGCAGTAAAGATCAAATATCCTTGTAAAAGGTGTTCTAGAATATCCTCATCGGTATGACATCAGTACCTAGCGATGACCCTAGGTGTCATCAGTATTTTAGTTCCTTAAGAAGCTATGAGTGTCATGCAGAAACAATATGATGAAATTCTCAGAATTCTAGTGCAAGAAATGAAAACAGTTTTAATACATTCTTGACTTTAGTCTTCAATTTCAGATGAAATTCCTATGTATTTTAATATTATCTGGATTTCTTTATGCAAATTTTTAAGAAACAGAATATCATAAGAGAGTAAAATGAATAAAATGATTAATAATGCCTCTGGTTAAACTACTTTACAAATACTTATATAAATATATATATAGCATCTCTATATATAGCATTTTAGCTTTTATTGCATAACATAGTCTGTACAGACTATATTACAGATCTTTTGAAATTCTTATATCAATTGATATGCAATTAACCAAAACCAACTATAAAATTACAAAGGTATTTTAAGTTGTCTACGTTGTTCTAGATGCATTTGTTCCCATTTGAGAGGATCTCTGGATAGTCTACATCTACTTGCACCATCCCTTGATAGTATACCTAGTCATCCATACACCTTGTTTGGGAATTGAAAAACATTCAATAACTTTTTTTTGCACAGCTGTCTTGTGTCCTTTGTAACTTGATAAATGCTGACAATTCAGCTGGCCAAGGCCACAGTAAGCAAATATAACAAATATATGAAGTACAGGATTAAGATCTCCGCTTATCTGTATTTGTTCACAAAACTAGCATCATCAGAACAAGAGCTATTCAGATTTTCCTACAACACCACAACGCACCCATAGGTTCTTGGATGGTTACAGTTAAACAAAATTAGAGTGAAGCAGCTTTTCTAAATATGAAGTTCGTTTGCATGATTTTGTGATGCCTTGCAAGAGTCAGCATAGATTTAACTGTATTTTATTTCCAACAATTATATATTTTTTTTTAGTTTGATTGTCATGCTATGTAAAATGAGGCACCTTCTAATGTTTTCTTATTTTTCTACTTCTAGTGGAAACGGATAACTCTAGTAAGCCTCATTGAAACCCCATAGTTTTCCCTCATATATTGATGTAGCAAATTTTGTAAATTTTTATGAATTTTGCAAATTTTATGTATATGTGAAATCAGATCCTATTTTTATATATGCCAAATATAATTTACTATTTACTTTTTTTTCAATTTGCAGGTTCCTTTTTCAACAGTCAAGTCAATTTGCTGATATGGAGAAAAAGTACGTTTTTTTACAACAAGAAGCTGAAAAATTCTTGGGCATAGAAAATAAAGTTAACTTAATTTCAGAAAAGGTAATCATTAACATCGGATAATCTGTGAACATTTGCCAGTGTGTTATGTAATTGTCATTTACTCAAATATAACTAGCTTCTTAGGAGCAATATTTATAACATGTTCTATTTGTCTGTGGGTAGGCATTGTTTGAGTGTTTCATTGAAATATTTGTGAAAGACAGTTTGTGAAATCAGGTCTGACTTCTGATGTGTTACAGTTTCATTTATGGATTTGCCACTGAAACTTATTCAAGTCACTTCCTTTTCTTTGTCAGTTCTCTTCACCTTTAAAATGAAGATAAATGTGATTACTCTCTGAAATACTTAGAAGAGCAAAAATGGTATAAAACACTAATGTATTACATTTGCAGTAGGGCAACTAAAAAAGAAAGCTGATGCTGTGCTGCTTAGAATTAGTTATTTAAACTCTTCTTTATGAACCACATGTTTGTATTGAAATATCAGCCTTACTGAAAAAGATTAACAAGGAAATTGTACTCCTGATGAAAGTAGGTGGCAGAAGTCTTGCTGACCATCAGAAACAGTGTTTTACCATACAATTTAAAGCTGAACTTACATCCTTAATGATGAAAAATAATAATAATTATTATTATTGCTGTCGTCTCTTGGGAAGCAGATTTATGTTAATTTTGTCAATGTGACAGTGTCACATAGTTGTTCATGAACATCAGTATATCATTATATCCCAGTATACTTTTGCAGACACTAAACTATTCTAAATAATTAATGCACAAACCTAATTCTGCCAGTACTATTCTGTATATAATTCAAATTTATACTGATTTGAAGGAAAATCACAAGCATTTTTGTACAATAGATTAGTTTTAGAAATATGAAAAACATACTGAAGCAGCAGTTATGTTTTTCCCCTTGCATTTTCCTTTCTGTATCATATTAGCAAATAGAAAACTTAGATGGACTACGGAAGTATCCCTGTATCTAACAGACAATGGTGGGAGTACAGCATGGCTTACACCACTAATGTTATTTTAGCGATGATCTCATAATGTTCTCATTTATACATGATGTAATTTGGATATTTATATACCACACTTTGCTTATTTTCCATGCAACATTTTGCAGGATGATGTGTTTTACTAAACAAACAAACACCAAAAAAATCACTCGGTAAAATAAGGGCCCAACAACAAAGAAAACAGCAGGTATCCTGTAAAAAGACAAGAACAAACATAATCTTTTCTATGACTCTTCCATGGTAGATTACTCACCAACAATATTTTAAATGTAAACTGTGGAAATAGTATTATAAGAGGACTGTAACAGCCAAAGTGGCTTCTAAGGGCTTGAGTCTTGCAAATCTTCATTGTCTTCTGTTAAATAAATGTGAGTAGTCTTCTAGTCTAATCTCATTAAGTAGACATGGACATTGTTTTGTGTTACAAATGCAGCTTGAGTCTTCTGAAAGTATCCTACAAGAAGCTACCTCCCTCAAGTCTGTGGTGACTGGGTTTGAGCAAGAAATATCTTCTCTTCGTAACATCATAAATGATATTCGGAACAGTGAACAAACTCTCTCTGAAAAGATGCAGAGCGTTAATGAGAAGTTGCAAAATATGACAGATTCCTGGAGAAGCAGCGTGGATGAAATGACCGCAAATACTACTGGATTAAAATCTGAAGCTAAGTTCATACATACAGAAGTGACTTCCCAAATTAATGAAGTTGATCAAAGAATTAAGTCCCTTTCTGAAAGATTAAAAGATTTGGAAGACAGTACAGCCAGAAATATTAGAACTGTAAAAAGGCAAGAAGATGATGAGTTCTCTAGAATCGAGCAACAGTTGGATTCGCATGCAAAGACTGTTGAAAAACTAGAAGAAGAGCAGAACAGTTTGTTAGCCAAAGACACAAAACTGAATCAGAAATTTACAGACTATGAACCCAAAATTGAGGAGTGCAAGGCCCACCTGCCAACAATAGAAAATGCTATTCACTCCATTCTGCGGTTATCAAGTGAATTGTTGAGTATGGAAAAAAAGATAGAAGACTTGACAACCCAGCTATCTACTGTGGAAAGTGAAATGGTGAAGACTGTCGCCCACACTGGAGCTGTAGAAGGTCCTTGAAGGCACACAGCATGATAACAGCATATTGAAACTGCGGAGTAAGAGAGTGGTTTTGGAGGAAGTAGCACCTGACATAAAGTTATCTTCAAATACTAAAGAAATATCTACTGAAGACTCATAGAAAATGATAAGAGTGAGGATAATATGTTAACTTGGACTCAGGATTTTCATTGATGGAAACACTTTCATCAGTATAGTCAATGTTTCTATGGCAGCACTCATACATTAAGGACAGCTGAATATTGTAATCATTTTCAATGGGTAATGGCTCAGATTTAAATGAAAATTTATAGGAAAGAGGAGAGAGAGACATATAGTTGAAGGAGGCAAGAAGTATCTTTTTTAAATAAGTATTGTCATTATTGAAAGTTTGGGGCTTTTTATGGATTTTGAAGCAAAGTATTTTGATAAAAGAATAAAACTTAGAAGATTGTATTTAGTTTTCTCTACACGGCTTTTTATATTGTTGTATTTTGTTATTATATTCCATGGACTTGTAGTGCAATGTAAAAAGTAAGTAATTGTTCCTAAGCAGAGATAATATATATTGTAGATTCCTTTTAATGTATTATTTACCATAATATTTGTTTGTGATTGCAGTATGTACACTTGACTGTCAGGTAGAAGAAAGCTTAACTTAAAACTTAAAAATACATTTCTAACTGCTCATACTGAAGCTTGGATATGACAACATTGTACAACAAAAAATACTAGCAAAATACCCCTACTGATAACCCTTTCTTGTAAGTGACATATATAAACAGGGACTTGCATAGCAGCTACTATTATCTTACATTTTCTGACACTATACAATGGCTTCATTACACCACCTTCCTACATTTTCAATCCTAAAATCCCTATCATTTTGTTACCCAGTGAAGTCCTCACACCACATAACAACTGAAGCAGATCAGCCTGTTATTGCTCCTCTATTATTTCATTTGTGTTTGGTGTGATCAGTCACTTAATTGCATTTCAGCAGTGCTAAAAACAACTTCTAACCTTTTCTTCTGCAGCCTGTTCTCTGTTACGTGTTGCTCATCATGTGTGGTATTGCTTTGTATTCCAAGGTAGAAGAAAAAGAAAAACTGTTAAGAGTGTCAGAGTGTCCCTTTATACTAGTTCTCAAACTTTGGCCAACTAGAGCTGCAAAATAAGTTACCGGAAGTTCTTCAGTCTACAGTGTCTAAAAAAAAAAAAAGGGGGGGGGGGGGGGTTTCACAGATCTACTTACCCCAGAAAGAAGATTGCATAATAAGTCTTCAGTGTACATTGAAATTTGGATCTCAAGACTGCCATATATTAGTGTTTACAGATTTCCATCTGTTAATTTCCAATTTCTCATTTCTGAATTCAGGAAAATAAATTGCTTAGGAGCTAGTCTGAATTCCTTGTGAATTCGGTCTGAATTAAATTACTTTTCGTTTGGTATATTCATTTACCTAGAACTCTACTGAAATCTTTAATAAAGAGTTAGTAGTGCCGTGTCAAGAGACTATTAAATTTTTAAATGCTATAAAGCACTTCAGAGTCTCATACTTTCAGGATGCTCTTTCCTAAAAACAGGATTTGCTTTCAATTTAAATTTCAGAATAGTAAAATAGTAAAATTAGGCTATTGCTTAAATTTTGATGTGAGTTATCAAATATTTTTATTTGTATCTCTCTAGTGTGAAAAGACTTGGAACTTAATGGAACAGCTGGAATATCGTCAAATAATTTCTCACGTTAAGCAACTCCAGGAAGATATATATACCATGAAAACATGGTCTAGCAGCTTAATTCAAAAAAAAGAAGAGCTGCAGAAGAATTTAACAGCCCTTTTTCATGCAGTTGCAAGTATTGAAGAGAATACAGCTTCTGTAGCAAAAAATATAACTTTGAAGATAGCGACAGTAAAAACTGACGTAAGGCGCATTTCTGGCCTGGTTTCAGATATGACTGTTTTGACAGATTCTTTACAAACACTAGAAGATAAATTAGATAAAGGTGAAAAAAAGACAGTAGAAAATATAGGTGACCTGCTTTCCAGCAGCATTGACAGAAGTGCAAAACTGCAAAGCTTGGCATCCAGTAATGCAAGAAGAATTGAGCAAATTAAGACAGCCTTATCAGAGTTAAGGAGTGATTTTAACAAAAATTCAGATAGACTTTTGAATCTCGAAAGTGACAGAGCAAAGGTGCTGAAGACAGTTACATTTGCAAATGACTTAAAACCCAAGATGTATAATCTCAGGAAGAATTTTGCCATCTTGGAACCACTGGTAAATGATCTAACCCTGAGAATAGGAAGATTAGCTGAGGATATAGTACGACGGGAGAAAGCAGCTGCTTTACTGAATGAAAAATTGATGAATTTAACAAGAGGTCAAGCTGAGATCAAGGATATGAAGGATGAAATAACCAAGATTTCAGATGTGAATTGATGGCTGTGGAATGGCTCTGCCTGAGGAACAGCAGTGTTTGAGGCGCGTTAGCTCCGGCGCGCGCAGCAGGAGGAAGGAGGGCAGGAGTTAAAGGCTTCATGCAGATGCTACCACAGCCCGGCCAGAAACCTCTCCTCTCCCCGTGAAGAGCACAGCAAAACTCGCAGCAATTTCAAGGAGCAGCAATCAAGCAAAGAATGTGTCTCTGTGCAGCTGTGAGTCTCTCTGAAGGATGACTGGTGCTATATTTAATAAATTCCTTGTTTTGTACAACAAAACACTGTAAAAGCATAAATTCTTGTTCTTAACTATAGAGTTTGCTTTCAGAAATAAAGCAAGAGCCAAGATGGACCCATGTTCAGCTTTCATTTGCTACTCTGAAGGATGGAATAAAATTGTGGTCTCCAGATAGAGATTAAACACAAGTTCGTAAAGCTGCATTAGTAATTTAATATTTGTCCCAGTACACTATGATTAGCTCTTTTGTAAAAAGCAATCCCTATTAAAAAAGGCAAATGCAGGAATCATCAGAAATACTGTTGATGCTTTTTAAAAAGGTCTGTTTAGCATTCAGATGGAATAATTTCTGGTAATTTATGGTGAAGAACTGTGCCTTGTCATCACATCACTGTGCAGCATTATGTCTCTGAAACACAGAACCATGTTTATAGGCAAGCATTTTCTGAAAGACCTACTGACTATTAATGTCCTCCCTGTGTCGCTCTATCTCTTTAGGAATCCCAGCAGCATCACTAAATTATTGTTAGTTGGCCTTTGAAATACTACAGTGCAGCAGCAAAACTAGGTGTGTGCTCACTAGGTGTGAGTAAGTTCAGTATTAGTCCTTGAAAGGGGGATCTGTGGCAGGTTAAGATATCATAGAGGTCCTGAACCCTTTCACAGCCAATGCTTCAGTCTCTGAGAAAATAAAAAAAGGCATTTAAAGGAGAAAAAAAAAAAGACTACCCAGAACAATCAGACAGTGATATTCCTGCTGCAGCATGGATTGGATGTCATACCTAAAGATCTCCGTCATTAGAGGTTGTGGGTTACATACTGGATGCATCAACCACCTTTGGTTTTCATTGCAGTTCATGTTAGTTGTGTCAAGCAAGGAGAGTGCTACACATGGCTAGCAGAAGAGAACTCTCATAATTCTGTGAGAAATAGGGTACTCTAATTGCTATTTGCATTTTCATTCTCCAGTTTTATAGCCCATAACATATGGGTGATAATGTAATGTCTTCTCATTTAAATAATTATACAGGTATCATTAAAAAGCATTTTTGTGTAGCTTTTCCTAATAGCTATTACGAATAGATAAGATACTAATCTGAAAGAAAGTTTGTGGTTGGGGGCGCTTTTTACTGATTGGAAGCAAGAGGCCATCTTATCTTGTAGATTGGCTTTATAAATCAAACCCTGCTTACAGGAAGCTTTGGAGAAAGACAGCATTACAAAAATCCTGAAGCACTTACAGGGGAACAAGGGCCCTAAATTACTGTTGTTTCCAAAGTAACTGTGGATTCCTTGAGCTAGGAAGCAGTGCTAATGCCTGTTCAATCAAGTCTTCAGCTGAAGACTGATCAGAAATGTGCATCACCTGGTGACGATTTAGCAACAGCAGGTCTGAGAAAACACAAGCACAGTTCTACTTGATGATGGATTCTTTGGCTTCATATTAACAGTTGACCTGCAGAAGAAGACATCCATAAAGCCTTTTACCTTCTTCTCAGTGTAGCTTTTCCTAATTCCAAGCTGTGGAAGCGTGCAAAATACAATTGGTGTTACATGCAAAAAAGTTTCAGCCCAGACTTTTAGCATGCTCAGGGCTAAGATGCATTTTCAGGATACAATGAGCCTCTTCTAAATGGCAGCACTGACACTCATCTGACTTCCATTTCATTAAGCATGGACATGAAGCATGGACAAAGTTTTCCTCCCGCCTGTAGTCCTTTATTTTTAGTATTGTTTTTGAACTATTTCCAAATCCAACCCACTGTCCAAAGGTGCAATGTTAGGGATTTTGCCCAAGGAAAAATGACCAGCCCATAATAAAACAGTCCACATAATCTACTGTATCAACTTTGAATAAATCAGCTTGACTCATGGTAGTGAAAATCTTGATAGCAGAGCTAGAAAACCAGTTGAACATTATTATTTATTTTTGTGCAAAATATAATAAAGAGGTAGGTTTAGTATAATCAGTGGTTGGAAGTGTATCAGCTCATTAAAGCTGCAATCCTCAGTTCATTTCCATGGCAAATCAACACTGTTCTCTACAATTTTATTAAGTGATTGAGATACTAAAGTAATAATGAGAATTACAGCTACGCTACTTGTAAAGACCTATCATCCCTTACAGCCTAACCTGTAATGACAATCAGGGCATCTTTGGCTTCTATTTGATATGTAGATATAGAGCTAGGCAATTCTATTCCAGTCAGCAATTCAGAAAGTGGAAACAAACAAACAAACAGCAACAGAAAGAATGAAAAATATCAAAAATCTGCTTTTAGACATTGGAACATCTGCTCAGTCAAGAGGATTTTGCTGGCAACACCTTTTCCCATGCCACTTGAGCTAGGAACACTGTCATTTGTAAAAAAAACATTTAACTATTAAATTCAGCTATCCAAGAGGTACTCACACTCACTAGAAAATAGCAGGATGTTTATTGTTTTCACTGAACTACATCATTTCTGTGTAGAAATGTAGATGAATTACAACTCTTTTTAATATTATAGTCCATTTTAGAATATTTAACAAGCATTTCAGCAAATATCTGCAAGGTCAAATACTGTTAGCATACTTGATTTGTAGTATAATCTGATACAAACACAGGGCATGGATGGAGTGATCATTCAAATTCATACAGCTGATATGTTTTAAACCAGAAATCTGGTCTCAGCTCCAGTAGTAGCAAAGAGGAGGTTTCCTCTTTGACAAAACAATACACAGAAGCAGCATATACATAATGCACAGAGTTGACAAAGCACTTGCAAATTTAGCAACTGTTCTGGAGTTACCCAGGCTATGTTTGGTTCAAAATGGATCGCTCTTGTTCAGTGCAGGACTTTCCTTGCATTGACAACGTAAGTCAATCAGAAGCTGCTCTTTCACCCCCTGCTCTTTCACCTTCCCTACTTTTGGAAAACATCACACACATTATAAAGGAAATAGTCATCAATGATGAAAATTGCCTTTTAAGTACCACCGAATACTACCACTTTCCCACTCAAGCTAGCATACTTGAAATTGCATTAGGCAACTTTTTGAGCAATATAGTTTTAACTGGCTTATCGCCCTCCACCTAAAGCATCAGAGTAAGTCTGTGGCTACACCTCAGTGAAGTTAATAGCTGCAAGGCAATTCTCCTCCCAAGTTTTCCCCGAAACAAAATACTGAAAGCAGCACTACCTCTATTTTGCCTTTCTCAGTTACAAAGGAGCAGCTAGCTCTCATACAGTCTTTTACAGATTTTCCTTGGCAAAGTAATCCAAATATCTTTAAAAAGGCAGCTTCAGGAACACATTTGAAAGTTTTATTGCACGTATTTAAAACGGCTGCACCAAAGGCAAACAATAGTATTCTACAAAAAAAAAAAAAATGCTGTGGTTTTGCTTGTGAAGTGGTAAAAATTTCTCTTGCTTGAGAAATTCACCTTATCTCTGCATTATTTGACAATCAGAATAACAGGTATCAGACAAGCTGTCTCAATCCTCTGCCAGCCTTGTAAATGTTTCCATCAGAAACACTCAGCTTTCCCTGGATTTTAAGATACTTGAGATGCTTTCCAACGAGCAAAGCCCAGCCCAAGGGCTTCACACATGCCTCAAAAGAAACTATTCTATTCAGTGCACGAATGCGATGGTAATTTGTTTTTGAGCAGAACAAGTTGAACCATGTGCTAAAATTTAATTCAAAAATCTGTTCTGACATGAACAGTCTTGCTGCAAGATGAAGCCACAGTTAATGCTTGTTGCCAAGGCAGCTCTTAAAAGCAAACATCCTAAAGATCTGCTAAATAACTTCAAAGCTTCCCCACTCACATTGGGCACAATGAAGTAAAATACATCTAGTTCAAAATATGTGTACAAATATTTTATTTAGAGTTAAGGAATTTGACTTTGCTGTATAATGCAGTTATTTAGGTGGTAGTTACCAACCTCTATAGAGTGCACATATAGTGTCAGAGTGACAAGAGTTTTGAACAGTATTTTTCTATGGATTTTATTGTACAACTTCAACTTAAGGCTTAGTTTGCTAGGGTCTGGTGTAACTACATGTCTTAAGTCACCAATCTTTTTTTTCTGGGGGGAAAATAAAATACTGTGTAAAATGGCAGCAGGAATAACATCAGAAACTATTAACGTAGAGTGGCTGGCATCTTTATGCCATTTGGGTGGAGCCAGCTGCAGTTGGGCCTCCTGGCTCTGAAGGACACTAAAGAAGTAAGTTCTCACAGTCTATGCAAGGCCAAGCTAGGCTGAACAGCAGCAGCCCAGGGCCTATGTGTTGCACAGGACACTTCAGCTCCAGCTCAGTAAGTGAGCAAGTCTCCATTACTGGTAAGGTTTGATTTGGATTTTTCTGAACGTATCTACTATGGATTCTTAGGGAAAACTGAAAGGATGAATGCTCACCTGGAAGAGACACGTTCATTGCCTGAAGTTAATAAAACAGTGCTTTGGTTTCTTCTCTGACATGCCTACAGGTCTAAATTTATTTGCATCAAGGTCTAAAAAGGCATGGCTTCTTGCTCTGCAGGAATGGCTCTACTGGAACACAGCATGAGAATTAAGCTAACAGCCAAAATTCAACAGTACCAAGTGCAAGAAAAGGCTGTTAACAAAACCTCAAGGGGACAAGGCAAGCCATTTGCATTTTGCTGTAAGCTTGTAGTGGTCAGACAGCCTTGAGAATTTTGCTAGCATTTTGTTATGGTAGCAGCCACAGTTTCTCCATGATACACATGGAAGGATTAACCTCTTTGGTGCAGAGATCAGTCAATTAAGTCAGCTTCACGTGGGGACAGCCACCCTAGAGCAAGGGCAGGTATTAGGTTTCTCTCAGCTCTGTAGTGCAGCTGTTGTGACCCGGCTGCCTCATCTGACCACACTCTTATTCACTGCAGAGCTCCACTATTCTACAGCAACCATTCATACAGGCAAGAAGAGCGTGGACTCCAAGGCAGTGCAAGACCGCAGTTAGTTTCTACAGGACTGGAAGGATGGGTTCGTGGCTCTGCTCCAGAAACAGTGTAAATCTGGTTTTGTTGCCTTTTTTACATGCAGAATGACTTACATTTTTTGTTAGGAATTAGTTTGAGGTATTTACTCATGTGAAGCAAAGCTTATATATGCAATAGGAAACAGACACTAAGCACTCTGGTTCTGATTTATTTCAGGCAATGACAGTGGTAGAATTTAAACCCTCAGAAGGGATGAGCCAATAATTACATCATATGGTCTGTTTTCTACATAGTCAAATATATAAAAGTTTCATGAAACTCATCACTGGGACAGCCAGCAAAGTCAGTCCATGAGTTGTTTATTCAGTTAGACCAAGCTTCTTCTTCAAAGACTCTGGCATTTCAGGTGGAGGTGGACGAGGAAGTCTGAAATACACCTTCACAGAATCATAGATGAACCACTGTAGTGCAGTCAGGGTACCAATCATAATGATACGAGCAAACAGACCTTTCCATACACCTGCAGAGCAAAACCATAAACCACAAGACGTGTGAGGCCAGGAGAAAATTCCCTTTCCACTCCCCTCAAAAATATACCTAACCCCCACCCGTACACTCAGCTCAAAATACATGAACAATTTTTTCTTTACCTCTGAATCCAAGCCTCACAAGAACCTGTGAAGCAGAACTGCCCTTTTCCTTGTTCAGTACAGACACCACAGAGTCAGCAGGATGAGAAACAATTGCACAGAATACACCAGCTGAAAGAATAATTCATTGTTAGTCCTGCAATGTTTTAGTCGCCACAGCAATTATTTGCCTAAGTATGCCCAACTGAAACCACACGTTTCCTAGACCACCACCAGCCAGTTGTGCAGGACAACTTATGTCAAATCTCCTGAAGGACAGCAGCTCTGCTCTTACTGGCACGACACATCCACTTGAAAGCACCTAGACTCTGCTTTTTCATCACTTGTCTTCTGAAATAAAACTCATTCTGATTTTTTATGGTGAAATCACTACTCCCTCCCTTCTCACCCTCCTCTTTTAACTTTCCTGTACTTGCTCCAGCTTACCAAGGTGGCAAGTTATTTTTCTTGCATGCGCCATCATCTCCAAACTTAAAGCTATTTTTTCCTGTGTTAAGAGTATCACCCTACTAAAGACCCAATTAACTAAGCTCTCATTCTGATTACAGATTTTATCTGTTCCACTGTCACTGCCCCACACATTTTTAAGTCACATTCAGGTTCTTCCATTGTAGTTATATGTATATATTTGATATTACGAAAAGAGTGAGACTTTAAAAACAGCTGAAATTCATTCACCAAGTGCAGAATTTAGAAGTTTCTTACCAATATAACCTGCAACAAACGTGACTACCAGCTGTTCTGCCTTTGTACATTCACTTCGTGGCTTGGGTACCACATACTTGTAGAGAGCTTCCACCGTACGTTCAAAGCAGGCAAATTTCATCATTGTGTATGGGATCTGCCTCATCCAGAGTGGAGCAACACCTTTATAGAAACTTTAACAGAGAAAACAAACACAACTTCATTTTCCTCAATTACTTCAAGACATATTTCTAACCCGAAAAAGCTAACCTAGTTAGCTTATTGCTGCTATCAGGGAGAGAGAAAAAAAAAAAAAAAACCCACAACACACAAACACAAAACACGACTGCTAGATTGTGAGACTGTAAGGCCCGAGTGCTCCAAAAGCCACAGTACAACAACATACAAGTTTTATTCATTACTCAAGACCAAGACCAGCAGCACAATTTAGAATTTACCTGACGCCTACACTGGGCAGCTGTTTGTTGCTTTTCAGATCACAGAGTGTAGTAATACTGTACATGCACATGTCTGCACACCAGCCGAGTCCTGATAGTGATCAGTGGCCTGTAGAATTACAGCCACTTCTACCAGAACAGAAAGCTAACATGCAGTTATATTGCTCTCACATGCCAATGACTCAAGCATCTTTGACTGTACAACCAAAAAAGTTGCTGAGTATCTCTGACTGGAACTGCTAGGAATTGAGGTTACCCAGCAGAACTCAGCACAGAGGTACTCACAAAGATGGATCTAAGGAGCATGTGAAATCAACTACAAGCTCAACACAGATTCTTTGATGAAAGTGCTAGTTACATTGAACTGTAAACACCCAAATGCGTTAGAAATCAATGCAAGCTAGAGCCACTAGAAGTTTTTCTTTTAACGAAAAGTGATTGCTAAAACTCAACACAAAAACATGAATGACAGTAAAAGAAATCCAGGAGATACTAACGCCCAGATGCCTTCTTCTCCGAACATTTTTGGTACAGCTTGCCGCAGGGTGTTAGCATATCCAGGCTGTGTCTGGATGCGGACTTTAGCAGCTTCCATGGGAGCCAGAGCAATGTCAGCAAAAAACTCCGCGCTGGCAGATGCGGCTAAGTACAGCGATGTACGCCACAGGTAGGCATTTTCCTGAAATGCATTCAAACACACGGTTTTCAATCAACAAACGGAGCTTTTGTGTTTATGTTACTAACACTTTTACACATCGATTTGCTTAAGGCTTACCTCTCCCAGTAGGTTTCCGTAGAGGATTTTGAAAACTTCATAGAAACCAAATTTACAGAGCCCTTGCATGGAATATCCGATAAATGTTGGAGCCCATCCCTTAGCCAAACCACGAACACCATCTTCTTTGATTGTCACTGAAAACCCATTGAAGATGCTCTTGTATTTTTGTGGGTCAACCTAAACAGAATAGACAGTTAACTGCTTGACACAGTTTAATAATTCTCTTCTCATACCTCCACATCAAATGTAATTCAAAAAAACAAAACAAACAACCTCATACCTTTACAGTTCCCTATAGCTCCCTATGTCTTTACCACGAGGCTAACTTTGATGTAACCATTGTGTTTGCCTGCTAGTTTCAAAACTTTTAACAGTCTGTATATCTCTCTAGAAGAGCCGAAATACCTTAGCTTCACCATACAAGTCTGAAGATTAACTTCATTATTCATCAGTGGCTACTTGTCCTTTACTGGTCTCATCTCTTCAAACACTGCCAGATTAAGACAGATTGCAAAAAGACAGCTCAAAGTATACTCAGAGATTTCTGTGCATGTACATTGATACATTCTGCCTTTACAGTTATGCATGTGGTGTTTCTGTATCCTCCGTAACTCGAGGAGGAACAATGGGACATGCATATCAAACTCTGATGACTAGTGTTTCACTCATCTCCCATAGTAATGACAGCCTAATTGAGAATTAATCTCAATTTAAAAAAAAAATTCAGAACACCAGATGTGTAATTTTTGACTGTGTACTGAAAGTGAGACTACCTCCTATCACAGCTTTGTCTAACCATTATGAACATAAGAGGTGACCTCTTTTAAAAATGTCAGAAGAAAGCAGGCAACATGTTTCTTTCTGAAGATCTTGAAAGAAATAGTGACACGTTCCCTACTGGACCTATAAAGACTAACACTGATAGGTTTTGCAAGGTCACACCTGGAAGTCACACGGGTCCTTTCAGCTGTACATTCCACAAAGTGCTGCGCAAGGGAAGTGTAGTTACTCTCGCTACATGAGAGGCAGGAGCAGGTAACCTAAGCTGAACATACCTACCAAGCAGCTGGAGCCCTGGGAGCAGGAGACCCTGCTGCCAGTGTCAACTGCAGCACTGCAGGGCCTTCAGGCCTTCTGCCCAGGAAACCATCTGGCAGTTGGATGAGAAATGCTTGTGGTGCTACATCCCCTTTTATCTGTGATCCTTCTTCCCAGAAAATCCACCCATAGCCCTATATAGTCAAGCTACCTATCTTGAATATTTGAGACACATGTTGCCAATTATAATGGAACTGAGTTTTAGCTATGCTTTCAGAAACAAGCAATGCTCAACTCCAAGTACTTTGGAGTAACTGGTAGTAACAGGGAATTCTCACATGCTTTATTTGGTCTGAATCCAAATGTGGTAGAAGACATCCATTTGCCTTATTTGATGCACCCTGACTTTGTTCAGGGCATTATAAAATTACTAGCTTAAGGGCAGACTGTCAGTTTTTCCTCAAATAAGAAGTGGTGCTCTGTTGTAAAGAATGCTCAAGGTCTTTTGGAAGAAAAATTTTAGCCTCACGTGCAGCAGTATAGTCAATAGTCTGACTAAAAAGTACTTCTGTCCTAATATCACATAAGACTGCCGCTTTTAGAATTGGTGTCACCTTATGCAATAGGGCCCCCACTACTAAGCTTCTAGACATTTTGAAACGTGCTTTAATTTGCTCCATTCCCAAAGCACAGATTTAATCAAATAAAACTATGAATATACTTTTATCCATGAATGTTGACTGGATGAATCTAATAGTGAAGCCGATATCACAATTAGGCATAATGAGACTTCTTTGCCCCTTTGGCTTCAGTCAAAAATCAATTCCACTACTCAGAAGCAGACGCCACACAAGCCCTTAGATAGGCATAGCAAATGCACTGCAAGTTTTATTCATTCTGTCAAAAGTGGAATCATTAGGAAGTATCAATCCATAATCCATGCACTGATGGTCACAGTGTTAATGGATTGTATTATACATGCACATTACTCCAGGGTAAAAAACTAAATCTTCGAAATATCAAAATTGGACTTCCTTCCAAAGCATATGAACAGTCCTCAATAGCCCAAAGAACACCAATGGGCTGTGTGCTTTTCATTAAGCTGCAATAAACTATCATGCCTTAAATGTAGGCACAGAAAGTTAGGTTCATCTAGATTATGCTATGTGCCTCTGTCTCTCTAGGAAGTGGTATATGGCTAGTCTCACCACACCAAATCTGATTAAGAGAAATAGCATCCAAGTTTATTTCCTTCCTGACGTTAAAAAAAAGTTTACCACCTACTGTAAATTCTTGATATGCTGGCTACAAAGAAAAAAAAAAGTTTAAGGAACATTGAAGTTAATACAAACCTGCATACGACATTTCACTAAATCCAGGGGTACGACAGCAGTATGTGTCAGGCCACAACTTAGGACCCCACCAAAGCCACAGAGAGCATAAAACTTGAGCGAGCCATATTCACAACTGTATTCTGCAGCAAAAGACAGAGACACACCATGCTTTTACATGAACTCCATGCACTGCTGGGCAACAATATCTAGTGGATAGTTTAGCCCTCCAATTCATTAGTAGATTATTTAAGTCACACTAAACATGCTTTATCAACTTCATCGCATATTGGCATGCGGAACAAACCTGTATTCTGCATTTAACCAGGTCTAGAGGAACCAGTGCTGTATGTGTTGTTCCACAGCTAATAATCCCACCAAAGCCGCATAGGATAAAGAATCTGCCCGAGCCATATGCACAGCTGTACTCTAGTTAATTAAAAAGAAAACACTTACGTATATGATCAGCTACACAGAGTAACAAATATCAGGTAAGTTGACAGAGTGCTAGCCTTTCAGAGATTTTAAACGGAAATAATTTCTTATACTGTGCTATTCAAAAACATCATTATGCTTATATTCACTTGCTCTAACATATTTTAGACTGACAAGATGGATCCTACATCTAAATAACTAAATCTATTCTTTTAATAGAGTCATGAAACAAACCATCAAACTTTGGGTCACAGAGCACTCACACATTGTCTGGATTTAAGTCTGTAAACTACAGAAATTAATTCCAGAATCTGCCAGTAGAAATTCTGACTCAAAGGTTTTTTTTTTTTTTTTTTTTTTAAATACCAAGGAATTCAGCAAGAGGAATGCTTCTCTAGAATTGTCAGCAAAGCATCTTTGCTTAAGTATTTTATGACCAGTGCAACTTCTGTTGCCAAAACTGTATCTGTTCTCTCTTACTTCCTTGTGGAATGCAATGCTCTGGCTTAAAAATACCTCATATTTTAAAGTTAATTGTGGAGACCATACAGACCTTCGAATTTAAGTTTAGATTCTTCTTTATATATGTATTTCTTTTTTAAACACCCTGTATCATTTGAAAAGTTAGACAAATGTAAAATACAGCATAGGAACTTGGCTACTCTTCCTGCAATAGCTGCTCTTTAGCAGCAGACTTGAAAAAAGAACATAATCATTAATGGGGGAAAGATGCAAAGATACTTCAAGTTAAGTCTTATTCAACTATGAATAACAGATAAATGCTAGAAATACAGCCCCTCTCTTCCAAAAGAGAGTTAAAGGACCGAGAAAGCAAAGCAAAGAAAATCTGGAAGACTTAAGAAAGAAGTTACCTTGCAATATCTAAAAAAAAATTTCTTCTAAAAAAAAATAAAGGGATAGAAAGGGATAGTTTCAGCTCCTTTGGTATTATATGTGGGGGCATTACTTGAGTACAATGTAATATCCATCAAAATGTTACAACAGCTAGTAAGAAACATCTCCAGAAAAGACCTAATGAAAAGCTCAGACAGACATACACTCACTCAAGCACAGACAAAACTATTTAAGACATGCCTTGTTTAACATATATTTTTGCTCCTTAAATAAATTCCTTTAGAGGCAACCACAAAAATTTCCTTTTAAATTCAACAACATCTACAGATTACCATTTAAGCCTAGTAGGTTTATCCAACTCCTTTCTTAGGAGGAAAGTAAAGAGTTGCATAAGCCTGCCAGACTTAAATGGCTACCCTTTGGAAAAGAAGGCTAGGAATGCTCTTTCTTAGGAGGAAAGTAGTCACGAGGACAATGAAAATATTACTTTTTTTTTCTTTATTCCAAAATAAGAAATACCAGATCTAAATTTACAGACCATATTAATTAACGTAAATAGGGCCCGAATTACTGGGTAGCTAGGCCTAGTTGTGTCTTTGCTCTTCAACATACAAGCACTGAGGTACTCGCCATGCTGCCCAAATACCAAGAAGTGCTTGTTCTGCCTGCCTTCCCAAGTCAACTTGCTGCTGGAAGTCACATTCCTGCTGCTAGGGTCAGGCCTTGGTAGAAGCTTCTGACCACAGAAGAGCAGAGTTTAAAAACCTGCCTTATTATAACAGCAGACTGCTTTATCAGCTGGGTGTTCAAAAACAGTAATTAAAAAAAGACATTATCTATTAGACACAAGCTCATTATATGCGTCTCCGTCTGTAGCAGCAGTGTTACAAAAAGCCAGTCGTACCCAGACTTTCTATTTCAGAAAGCATTCTACTAAAAACTGTGCTGACGAAAACACATCCAACATCTAACACACGCGACCTGTGTGTTGCGTTGCGTGTTGCAGGCTAATCAATGCAGTGAAGAGAGCAGGGAAATTACCCTAGGTTGACTTTTAAGAGATGACTAAGAAGAAATGTCCTGGGGGTAGTCCAAATAACATGGTTCTGAGCTGTGTTTTTAAGACAGACAGAAATAACTACTACAACAGACTAATAGAGACGATCCCCAAGGGCTAATCATAAAGCATCTTGACATATTATGGTCTAGGCCTTGAACTGAATTCAGAAGGTCTTGCAATTGGTGCCGACTTTGTGTGACCTTGGGTAAGCTCTTATCTTTTACAATATGGTAAGTCTCCAAAGGACAAGGGAAGAATGAAGAACCAACTGGTACGTCAAATAACAAACAAAGCACAAAGAATCATCACAATCAAATAAATTAAGTTCACTTCTGACTGCATCTGCTTACAAACCAGATGAAGATTAATAAAAATGATTTTAAGGAGCAAACGCACCTATTGAACATAACGTTGCATACTGCACAGTGTCTAATATATGTTGGATTCATTAGCAGTATGATCATTATTTAAGTAAAAAGTACAGTCTTGGAAACATACTAAAAACCAAAATCCAGTTTTGCCTCTTGCAGATTACACAAGATACCTCTGAACATACAACATCACAAAAGGCAGCTTGTTGACAGCATCATTTCTATTTGAATCTTTCTGCTTAAAAAAAAAGTTAATGTAGATATTTCTAACCTATTAAGAGTAGGTTACTCTTATGTATGTAGGTTACAAACATATGTAATGTAACCTACTGTATCTAGGTTAAGCAATTGAACAATTACATTTATGTCTAAAAATCATCATTACATAGCTACACAGTGTATATCTCACAACAACCATGGGAAGAAAAATGCAAAACAGATGTGGGTTCTTCTAATGGCTAGAGATCTTCAGAATGTCTAAATGTCTAGCTAGGAAAGGAGGAGAAAAAAAGGAAAAAAAAAAAGGAAAAAAAAAGGAAGAAAAAAAAAAAAAAAAAAAAAGGCGGATGTGCGGAGAGAGGAAGAGAGAGGATGCCGGGGAAAGATGAGGCCCGGCCTTGCAAACCCAGCATCCGTCTCTCCCGCACAGAGGGAGGATGTGCTCCAGGCCCGCCGCTTCCATCCCCAAGGTTGCAGGCCCCTCAGAGCGGGCTATGTCGCGCCCACAACCGCGGCCCCGCCGAAGATGCCGCGGCTCCCAGGACCTCTGCGCGTCCTTCGCCAGGATCACCGGGTCCTTGGTGCCGCCCGCGGCGGAAGCGGCAACCGGCGCCTCCCCCACCCGTGCCCTTCCCTGTCCTCCACAGGGGCGCGCAGGCCCAGCCGCGCCTCCGGCCCGGCCTGCCCGCGGCCCGGCCCGGCCCGCCGAGCCCCTCCGGCCGACAAGGGGCACCGGCGCCCCCGCTTCGCCCCTCACCTTCGTCAGCGGAGGCGGCCGCCAAGCTGCGCCGCGTGGCGGGCGGCCCGACGGGCTCCTGCCGCTTCCTCACGCCGTCCTGGACGAGCTGCAGGTGCGGCGCGTAGAAGGGGTTGAGGCGGGCGAGCGGCGCGATGGAGGAGAACATGGCGACCTGCGGCGGGCGAGAAGAGCAGAGCGGGGCACAACGGAGCGGCGCGGTGCGGTGGGCGAAGCGCCGCGCGCAGGGCCCGCCGAAGCGGCCGCCCCGGCTCCCAACTCACCTCCTAAGATGGCGGCGCTGGCGGCTGCTCGGGCAGCTCGCGCGGGGACTGAGCGGCGCCCCCGGCCGCTCGCTTTGTCCTTCGCCGCGCGGCGGGCGGGGCCGCTGGGCAACAAGCCGCCGCCCCATTGGTGGAGGCGCGCGCCGGCAGCGC